ACACCAAATCCGAACTAACTCGCGGATTCTTCGATGTTCGGACATCCGTACCACACGTATGCACATCACTAAAACTCTTGATGTAGAAAAAATCATTTGCTCGTTGTGCTCTACAATGTATAGCCCACAAGCAGCCCCTCTCCTCCCGCATCGCACACACAGCAGTAACTCTTGTTGTCTCGTTCTTCACGTATGTAAACTGAAACCCACATTGGATGGCGTACTTACATAAAACGTCACGAAATTCTTGTGCACCTCCAACAAACCGTTGTCCCACATGCGTAATACCATTTGCCCAAGGGGCTGACAACAACACCTTCTCGTTATGGTGGCAAAATCTTTGTAATGCATCAATTTCTTCCTCAACCCCCACACACACCAATCCCAAACTAGTTGACTGAACACTACCACTTTTCAACTCAACCACAACTTCTACATGTTGTACCCCTATTGATTTAGCAAGCAGTAACATGTTCTGAAATTCTTTCTCATTGTCCAAATCACACTTCCTAATCCCAGGTAGTTTACAGAACAGTGAAATAGAACCAGCAGACAACTCATCCCATTTCTCACACAAACACTCCACCAAACGAGAATAACACATTGCGTGGGCAACATTTATTACAGTTGTACTGCAACCATATGTACACACCAACAGCATAAAGGTATCCATCTCCTATAAAAACACAAAAACATAACAATGAACATTAATAAAAATCAATATGAAAATTCACTTTGTGCAAAAAATAGATGAGTACGCGTACAGTTGAAGTGCTAAATCCATACTTCAGAATACGAAGATGTGAACATTCACATTGTTGTTAACAACATGTCAACATTAAGCAAACATCAAAGTAAAATGAGAAAATCAACAATCTTCACGTCATATTCGCACGATGTGAACATTTACATTGACACAGACACTCTAAATGATATGACACACACAGAGCCTCATTCAGCAAACATCAATTTCAAATGAGAACATCCACATTCTCCACATAATCCACATTAACAAAATGTTAACATCCTCATTGACATATATACTGATAATCAAATCATCTACAGAGATCCTCATTACGCATGCGTCCAAGTAAAATGAGAACTACACATTTAATCAAAATCGACATGAAAAATCACATTGTGCAAAAAATCAAAAATTCCTACGTGTACAGTTCAGGTGCTAAATCCATAATTCACAAATACAAAGATGTGAACATTCACATTTATATTAACAAGATGCCAAAATTGCAAACATCAAAGTAAAAATGAGAACATCAACAAACTTCACATAATATTAACAAAATCTGCACATTTACATTGAAACATACACTCTGAATTATATCACACACACAGAGCCTCATTAAACAAACATCAATTTAAAATGAGAACATCCACATTCTTCACATAATCCACATTAACAAAATGTCAACATTCACATTGCCATATATACTGATAATCAAATCATCTACACAGATCCTCATTACGCATACATCCAACTAAAATGAGAACTAACACTGTTCTTCACATAATATGAATGTACTCCCCTCCACAGGATCACGTAAGAAGCATATAATTGAAAAACCAGCGCATCCAATTCATATCAATCCAAAAACAGAGCATCTGCTTCATCATACAAAAAGCCTGAACATGTATTCATAATCAAATTGATACTAACCTTAACCCTGCAATCCTACAATCCTCCAGAAAGTCGAACAGAACTGATTCGAACTACTTAAAGCTCGGAAAATGTGACAGCCGAACAGCTACCTCTTCGTCATCTTCACTCGCAAACCACAGAACCAGACTAGAACACCAACAATGAAACCCTAGCACCACCAATCCTTGGAACGAGTATGCAAAACATAAACGTATCACTTGGAATTGGATTGATGAAGAAAAACGTAAAATGGAAACTGCCAAACTGAATCAGCGAGGAAACAGCCACGTAAACAGCCACGTAATACGTAAATAGGTATAACACTGTACACACACATATATATATATATATATATAGGGGGCAAAATAGTCCAGGAAAATATGTTAAATTAGAAAAATGGACCTTATGGAATAAGAAGAAAAGTTTATGGGACTAATCAGGTCATCATATTCTTTTGTGGACCTAATGGGTTATAACAACTCTAGAATGGATTTATCAATAAAAATCTCATAAAAATTAGTATCCCTTTATTTATGACTTTCAAATGGAAAGTATATCAAATCTTTAAAAAAAAAAAAATGAAAAATATACTAATCCATTTGAAAATTCAAATTTGAGGGTCACTAAATATGAAAAGCAATATATTAATTTAAATTTAAAATTGGCACAATATAAATTTAAAATTATAATGATCTATCACATGTTTTATAAGTTTTAAATACAAATTCAAAATTATCATAATTAGTTCATATATATATATGTACACACATATATTTTTTGTACTTGGGAGTAATAAGAGTGACATTAAGATTATTTATATATTTTACAAAAGAATGCTATTAAGAAGAGATATTATGAGAGTTTTAAAAACTCATACAAAATCTATATATTATTATAATTGAAAAACATTGCCATGCCATTAAAGTTTAAAGTTGCTTATTTTTTTATTTTTAATTTTTGTTAATATGTGTCACAATATGATTGATTTATAAATTAATTTTATATTCTTAAATAAAATTTTAAATTTAGATTCTTCCTTAAATTATGTTACTAGAATAAGATCAATATTCATTTCTTAATTTATGCATATTTTATTAAATTATAAAATAAAATTTTAAATTTAAATTCTTTTTAAATTATGTTATTATAATTGGAATGAATTCAATATTCACATGTGTTATAATATTATTGATCTAAACATAATACGTTGTTAAATACACGTATTCAAATTATTAATCACTATTAAAAGTTTATATTTTTACTTTTTGTCATTTTTGGTTTTAAATTGTTACCCAAAAGACAACCTAAGAGGGAAGGTGAATTAGGTTTTTACAAATAAAAATAATAATACCCTAATAAAAATTATGACTAGTACAATAGATAAATATAGTTAATGAAATAAAAATAATTAAAATAAGTGTGCTAACAACTATGTCAGTGAATGATTTTAGCACAGTGAAAATGTGAAATATAGCTATGGTAATTTAAATAAAATAAAGAGATAAGGGAGAGAGAGACAAACAAATTTATAGTGGTTTGGCTTCAACTGCCTACATCCACTCCTCAAGTTTCACTTGAGATTTTCCATTATATTCTAGCTTCACAGGGTGCTAACAACCTTTTCACAAATAGAGCAATCCTCCACAGATTTTACACAGACTTTCTAAGTCAAGAACACTGAGTGTATTATACTCTTACAAGGTTGAAAAGAAGGTGCTTGTTTTCACAAAAAGTTACAAAAATTATCTCTCAAAGATAGATATAAAAATAAAACTCTAGTTTTTTTATAAACCTCACACAGGAAATATGGGCTTAAAGCTATACGTCTCAGTGTATAATTTCTAAAAGATGATGTAAACAAAAATTGAAGAACACTTCTCAGAGAATTTTTCAGAGAATAGATGTGAGTAATTATAGATCAAAGAATATTTTTTGATTTTTTTTGTAACTTATTTACATTAGAGGCTTTGGTATATATAATGAAACTTACACTACAAAAAAATTGACTTTTTGCGACGGTAAAATACCGTCGCTAATACTCCTAATGCCGTCGCTAATACTTTTTGCGACGGCAAAATGACTTTTTGCGACGGCAAGAGGGGGGTCGCAACTGCAGGGGTTGCAAAAGAGTTTTTGCGACGGTAAGTGCCGTCGCTAATGTTTTGCGACGGCATTTTTTACCTTTTTGCGACGACACCGTGCAGTCGCTAATAACGTTTGAAATTTCGTGACTTTTTTGCGACGGTCCTATTTTACCGTCGTTAAAAATGTTATTTGAGACGGCAAAAAATACCGTCGCTAATAATCTTTTTTTTTTAAAAAACACTGTTTTTTGCGACGGTGTGGTGCCGTCGCAAAAAGTATAAAAAATATAAAAATTTTTATTTTTTACGACAGTGTAATGCCGTCGCAAAAAATATTAAAAAATAATAAAATTTTTATTTTAAATAATAAAATTTCTATTTTTTGCGACAGTATAATGTCGTCACAAAAAGTAAAACATATAACAAAATTAATAAAAATATTAAAATTTTTTATTTTTTTCGACGGTGGTGCCGTCTCTCACTCTCTAAGAGCTAATTATTTACATTCCATTCACAAAAACATCATAACAGAAAATAAAAATAAAAATTGATCAAACCATCAAATTCAATATTTTACAAAGAATAATTAATCTGTACATGTTCATAAAAATATATTTAAATTATAAAATTCACCCAAATCCTATAAAATAATAAAATAAAATCTAAAATTCACCAATCAGCACATTGGATATTTAAATACTCTTACAAAAAATTAAAAAATAAAAAATTTCCAACAAAATCTCAATTTTGAGCCTATTTCAAAAATCAAGCTGCAAATTCCTTACTTCTAGAATCAGATCTTCCCCTCGGCAAAATTTATCCTTTTGACCTACAAATAAATAGATAACAGTTGCAAATTATAATCTTTTGGAGAAACCAACTATTTAAACACCAGTAATGAAGACAATGAAAACTGTGGAAAGAACACTTACGTTGTCATCAGGAACAACTGCATATCTCTCAATTGGAGAAACCAAAGCTTTCCCTGCTCACAAAAAAATGCAACTGATTCAATTGGGCAGAGTTCAGTTGTAATTTTTACCCCATGGAATGATTGCAATTACACAAAACAGTTTTCACTGCAGGGAACAGATCTAAATAGAAAAAAAAAAAAAAAAAAAAAAAAAAAAAAAAAAAAAAAATTTCAACCACTCAAAAAAACATGCATGGCATTTTAACGAATATGATAACCAAACCAAATTAAGGCTTATGTCCCAGTCAAGTAGAGTTGGCTACATGGATCTTTTTTCACCACTGTGTCGTATTAAAGACTATATGCTTAGTTGATTTTTTTTTTTTTACTAAGACGTCCCATGTCTATTTAGGTCTTCCCCTCCTCATAACATTTACATTTATAGTGATTACATCACTCTTCCTTACAATTGAATCCATAGGTCTTTGTTATACATGACTAAATCATCTTAGCATCTTCTCTCTCAACTTATCTTCAACTGATAGTACTCCTACCATTTCGCGCATATATTCATTTCTAATCCTATCTTTCACACATCCATCAGTAATCAATTTAAAGAAGATGATGACAAGGTAAAATTTTATTAAATTTGGATGATCAGATAAGGCAACAGCAACATTCACCAATCAGCATCATGGCAGAATTTGTGCATTGACAGACACATTTGAGACTACTGCATTTCCTTATCTTGGAAAAGTAAGAATTAATTTTTCAGTCAGCCCAACTAGCATGTGGATGCCAAAGCTTTGCTTATGCCCACATAGCATATGCATCATTTTGAAAGAGAAGGTTATGCAACAAATGATTAAGTAATCAAAACCCTACAAAAAGTAAACAGATAATGAGGAGGAATTCCACCAAAAAACCTGCACTTCTGTGGAGCAAATTTGATTCCTATAGAAGCAGGGGCAACTCCACACAGGTATGAGTGGAATTAAATTTTTATTTACTACATATAATTGTTCGTTTGATGAAAACCTTAAAATAGTTGTCACCACTGGAAAAGGAGTTTGAACACACTGCCCATTTAGTCCAATTCTAAACATCCCAAAACATCCCAATCCTCCATTGGGTCTACTCTACTCTACTCTACTCTACAAAGTCCATGCAAGAAAATCATTTGTTTGTGTATGTATTTAGTACAAATCATTTTGAAAATTGATGTAATTTATTCAAATTAGGACCTAAACTAGATGGAATTGTAATTTGAAGTCAATTTTTTGTTTTTTACTACGTGCAAATTGATGCATCAAATTGACAGTGTTGTTTATTTTAAATCTTTTATATGATCAAAATTTCTAAAAGAACATCAATTGTAGTGCAAGATTCATCTTCTACCCAAGAAATGTGGGGTGATAGTCGCATAGAAAATTATTTTCAGCTAAGTTGTGTTGACATGAACAATCTTCTATGAGATCCAAGGAAAGCATGCCTAGTTTAGTCCTCACTGAATAAGGGTTTAAAAGGAGGAGTAGATTGAGTCCAAGGCTACAATAAAAAAATCTCATCTTATCAATTCTAAAACTTCATCTACTTGAGTGGCTTTTTTGTTAAAACAATTTATTTATGATTTGAGACATTAAAGTTTCTCGACTTCTTGGAAATAGGTGATAGATATTTATAGGTGTGAATTTCTATAGTACTGGTAAAATTCAAGGTGTGTTTGGTATCATTTTTGTTTTCATATTCTATTCTCAAAAATTGGGAAAATGAAAATTTTGTTTGACAAATTGATTTGCTGAAACACTTCTATTGGAAACACTTTATTATTTTTTCTGATAAGCAACAAAGAAGATTGTAATAGATAAAGTAGAGAGGGGGCACAACCTGAGTACAATCACACAAGAAAATCAAAAGAATGAAAAAGAAGGAAAAAAAAGTATTGAGGAAACTCCAAAATCCTACAGAAAACCGTAAAATAAAAAAGATAAGTTGATGAATGGGTGTTTTTTTATTGTTTTTGTTTCTGAAAATATCGAAGATAAAAACGAATTTTGAATTCCTACTGTAAAGAAATAAAACGCCTGGGGATTCAAAAGCACAAAATTTATTAGTTGTGATCCATAATATAACAATACAATAAAAAAGAGTAAAAATAAATGACTCAGTAAATTGAATTAGAATTAACAAATAGCAGTAATAAAAAAAATAGAATAGAAAGAGGATAATTATAAAGAACCCAATATAATTTAAAAGTTCCAAATTTACCTATTTATAAAAAAATCAAATGTTATAGTAAAAATCTTGAATTTCGAATAAATTTTCACATTTTCTATAAAATAAAACGACAATAAAAAATAAAAAATTTGATACCCATTTTTTTTACTTCAATTTTATCGTTTTCATTGAAGAAAACAAAATTTGATCAAAATCTTTGGTACATAACGAACATAGATATTGATGGGTCGTTTCACACACCAAAAATAAACACTAAACTATACTAAATTCTTTAGAATAATGGTAAGTCTAGGTATCAATCCACATGGACAAACAGACAATTAAACTAATTTAATTGTTAAATTCCTAAATTAATTTTGATAAAAAGATTAAGGGACATCATGACAAAACGAGAATTAAATGAAATTGAAAAAATTGAATTGACAATTAACAGTAGGGTTTGAGATAGTGATTTTTGGAAAAATCCTAGGGTAAAGAATTCACCACTAATCGCATAAATAAGACTTAGCATCGGCCATTAATTGCAATCCGATTTGAATTACCTAATATTTCACAACTACAAGTTTGAAACATTGATCAAGAGGATTGTTACATTCAATGTATAGGCACGAATCATCCCAAGTAGCACGAGTCGTTTGCTCTAAACTATAGTAGCAACACGACCCGTTTCTCGTAGCATGACTTGTCTCATACTTTGAACACAAATGCAAAGAAAACTAATGTATGGAAAGCATTAAATAGTCACAGACAATAAAATACTTAAAGAGATGAAAAGGAAAATTATTATAAACTTCTAAAACATTCATACATTTATTCAAACCGTTTCACAATTAAAACCTAAGAAAAATCTCCTTGCATGGCTAGGGTTTTATCAAAACCCTAAAACTGGAAGACTAGTCACTCATGGAGGAGTGGGAAGAGGTGGAAGAGGAAGAAACCCCCATGAAAGTTTCCCTTGAAGCTTGAGAAATCCCTTTCTTTAAACCCTAGCCTCCTTTTTCGTTAGAATATTTTCGAACCTGGTTACAACCTCTTTTTCTTCTTTTTATTCCTAACAGAAGAGCCTTAAATTTTTACGCATGCAACCCTAGGTGGGCCACTTAAGCCCCCATATGGGCCGCTCGAGTGGCGGTGGGCCACACATGCAGTGGAGCTTGGCTGTACGTGCGGTGAGGTAGGTGGCTGGCCTGGACTTTTCACTACTCGCAAGTGTTTTTGCGCCACTTTTTGCTTGAATTTACGTGTTGCCTACCAAATCTGTACAGGTGCACAAAATACATCATCTCAACCAAATAAATAAAATTCAAAGACTATAAATGTAACTTAAACGGTCTCAATGTGGTCTTATTTCGTCCCTCCTTTTCTTTTTGTCTTTTTTGTTGATTTATTTGGTATACAATGTTGTACTTCTTAGAAGAGTATCCCAAGAATTACGGGCAATTCACTCAAATGTGTGTACCAATTACAAATCTCCATATTCCTTCATATTTTCAATCACCTGATACAAAATCTTTAGTCATATATTGTTGGCTTTTTTGGATTTCGAAGGTTAGAAATGAAATTCGAGCGTACCAGCAAAGATCAATAAGTTCTTACAAAGATTAGTAAATGCCAACCAATTAGTCAGACGATTGTTTCGAAGTTCTTTTAGCATCAATAAAGAGGATTACCAGTGGCTCAGTTTTTAGGAGAAAATTAAGAAGACTTAATCAAAGTAAAAGAAAGAGGAAATATAGTGGCAAAAATCAAACTTCATTAAGTGAACCAAAGTTTACAATAGTACCTTCGCACTTTCATAGCTTTGAAGGGTATTACATCAATGAACTACTTTAGAACAACTCCTAGGAATTTGAAGTGTAGTGCAGGAAAGTAAAAGACTGGAATTTAAAGGAATGAAGAATGTAAAGTAAATAAACAAGTTTTCTAGATCTGGTTCTGGGTCCTGCATTATTAGCACTCTCCTCTATTTATAGGCTCTGAAGATAACCGTTGAAGTGGCTGATAACCGTCGAAGTAGGTGATAATTGTTGAAGTGATCTCCATGATCAGTGAGTATGGCTTTGAACAGTTTGCTCCCACTATTCTACTCCTACGGTTGGGCTTCCCTCCTGAATTTGAATTTAAATTGTAAACAACTGTTTTGGCCACATCACCTTGGGTATCTTAACTGTTTCCATGTCTCACGGATCCATTGTCACTGTTATAAGTTGCCATGTGTTTGTTGATGATTGGAGACTGCAACTTATTTCCCAAATTGCCCCTTCTGATCCATGTGTCAGGCTGCGATAGGTCTGTACAAAATATATAGCCAACATTACCTCACTAATATAGCCAATACATGGTAATATTAGTGGATCAATGCATTTTTCCCTCGTCCTAGGACATGCATGGAAATTATTTATCCTGGAAGTATAACCGTTTCCAAGAAATGTTTAAAACACTGAACTTCATCGAATTCCCTTTTGTGCTTGAACCCTACCTCCACTATCTGTGTAAACAAAAAGGATGATACATCTTTGATGGCTAATCAAGCCTTCTCTTTTATTGATCAAGCATGTAAAGGGGCTTTAGATAATGATAATCAATCTTGAAAGAACTTCCATGCATTTATTAGCCATATCTATCCTCCTCTATTTATACAAGTTATGGAGGCTTTCGCAGAATATGAGCCTTTAGACCAAAAACTTACCCAAATAGATATTGGAAGTTCTTCATCTGCTCCAAAACCCTCTACGTGGGATGAAGCTGCATTCTCTTCTACTAGGACTACTAGTTGGAATGCTTGGCCAACACTAACCCAACCCCAAACAAGAGAACGGATTCATCACAGACTTGTTGAATTTGACGATCCCACTACGATTCCTCCTTCTTCACGCAACTCTGTGGTATGTCCCTATATTTCATTAGACCGCCTTCATTGTCTCGAAGACAACTTGCTTTCGGCATGATATACCTCCACCCTGCTAACCAAAATAGTGCGAAAGGCCCCTTACCCAATCGAAGCTTTGGGAATGAGCCCCTTACTCTTAGCCAAAAAAGCAAAACTTTGCTCTTCTGACTGGCTAGAGTGTGTAAATGAGCCTTAGTTTCCACCTTTTCTTAGAGGGGACCCAACTGCTCCTCCCCTTTCTCCTAATCCTAACTGGACTGAGGAATTAAAACTTACTCTCTTCGAAAGCCAGCATTTCGCTCCTTATCAGGCTCTAGTTCCTCCAACTACTTATCAGCAGTATAAATCCCAGACCCTGCTTGTTACCTTTTCTCATTTATCTTTCAAAGCCCTTCAAGATGACACTCCTCACAAGAATTTTCCATGGGCTTGTGACATTGTCTCTCGAAGCCACAACCTCAGCCCAGTGGCCCAAGCAGAACTTCACATTTTTCTAGACCAGCTCCCTTTGCTGTTTAACTAGCACAAAAATGCTTTGGCCACTAGCGAATCTTTAGAGGAGATCTCCACTATTCGCATCCAAACTCAATATGAGGCAGAAAATCTTCTTGAAGAATATGAAGATTTCAAGAAGCTTGATTCAAAGTACGGGTAAGATGTTGATATGGATGATATGTATCAGATGGATGAGATGGATGAAGTGGAGAAAGCCTTGGAGCAAACAGAATTTGAAATAAGGGCCCAACAACTTTTCTACCAAATAAGGGCTCACCAATTAGATAAGCCAAATTTAGATAGGATAGAGGAAAGGTTAGAAAAAGAACATGTATTTATTGAATTTTGCTAGACAAAATTTCATGACCTTGTAACCTTGTCTATTCCTAATTTTTATGAAATTGAGAATGCAGCCAAATAGGCTTTCCCAATGTAGATGTTCACATCAATAAAATTGGGTTTCTATATTCCAATTGCATGGTCTATATTTGTCAATATACATGACTTTTGTCATTTATTTTGTTCTTATAATTAACAAATATTAGCTTCCCTTAAGAAGTGATATTATTCTTCCTTCAAAGGGCTCTGCTCAATAGAAAGCCCAAGAATGTACTTTTATATTTCTACAATTTTAAAGACATGGGTTTCACTTTTGCCAATTTTGTAAATCTTTTAATCTACAAAACTCTCGCACCATTCTAGCAAATATTGGCCTCATAGTACCTCCTTATTTCGAAGCCAAACAAAGCACTTAAAAGTACATTTCCTTTCCTCAAAAGATAATAAAATACTCCTTTGAAGGAAATCTTTTTTGGAAGAACGCCTAGGATCATACTTTTAAGACCTTCGAATTGTTAAACATGCTTTAACTTTACTAGAGTTGAGATATAGTTTTGAACATTTTAGCAAAAAACTGGTTTCAAAGCCAAGCTAAACACTTCAAAGCATATTTTCTTCCTTTATAAGGTAACAAGGTGCTGCTTTGACGGAAAATTTCTTTATAGAGGGTCAAAAATGTGTTTTCAGGACTTTTAAAATAAAGGCCTTAATCCCACACGGGTCAAAAATAAACAATCAAATAACTTGGGCCTATTTGACCTATTAGGTTGAATGGGCAATTTTGGACATGAAGGTTTAAAGCCGCAATTTCTTGCGCTCTTGCCTATTTGCTTGTCCAGTCTTTACTCTTACTTCCATTGTTACTTTAACTCCTTACACTTCTCTTACTCATTCTCCTCACCCTTCTTTCAATCCGTTACTGACGAATTTTTCTTCCTCGGTGAAAGTACTAGTTGTTGAACATTTACGTTCCTCAGTGGCTTTGAGGAGATGCATTACTGATGAGATAGCCAAATATGAGACACCAGAGGGTCAAAGCGCGATTGATAGGAGAATCTTTATCCTTCGTCACCACGCTCGAGGAGAATACGTTCTTGGTCCCATCTTCAAGGAGGTTCCTACTACACTTCCTCCTTTATACCCACGCTTGGAGGAATATTACCTCCTCTATGAAGAAAGCTACAACTGGAGAA